GATTTTCATTTATTTATTGTCTTGAATCTGATCATTCAAGGATATTAAAAAACAGCCTAACCATTGGAAAATCAAGACCATCTTTTAGAGAAAAACCTAAAACCAGAGTTTCCATGTTCAGCCTGAACACCAAAGGACTCCACTCACGGAGCTACAAGGACAGATCTAAGCCCTCCTGCCACTCCAAGGAAACCACAAGAGGCGACCTTGGGGCTGCACAGAGCAGCGGGATAAAGACAGACAAGCACCGGGCCGCACGCCAGTCCCAAGCCACATCCAGCACCACGCGCACAAGCCTGGCTCTGCTAAGGATGCAGTGGCTTGCACTGCAGTGTCTCTGACCACGGCACCTTCTGCCTGGCCTCTTTCAAGAAAGGCACATCCTTTCTATCCAAGGCTCAGGAGAAAAACGTCACAAATCATTTTTTGAGCACAGTGAACAAGCCACCAAAGATAGCACTCACACAAGGAACAGTGCACACCAGTCAGACCTGCAAAAACACCTGTGCCACCACAGACCCGGATGGTGCCATCAGCTCCCCTGGCCTAGAGAAGCCACCAAGGTGCCTGGAGACAGCTGTAGACAAGGTGAAACTACAACTTGGGAAAAAACCTCTAGAAATGTGAAGTATAAAAATGAAAATTATAGGGGCCGGGGAGATGGCTCAGGGGAATAAGCGCTTCCCTGGCAAGCGCAAGGGCCTGAGTTCAATCCCCGGTTCTGCAAAAAAAAGCTGTAAGTAAGAAAGTCTAGCATTGAGGGGGTCCCAGGAAGAGAGGGCAGAGAGAGAATAATGTAGAAGCAATATGCAGATACCATGGCTGGGCAGGCCAAATAGCTCAGCGGGTTAAAGTGCCTGCAAGCAGACACAGGGACCAGGGGTTCAAAGCCTGGGCCTGCTGTGCCAGCAGTTGAGACTGGGCGTGGTAGTGCGTGCCTGTAATCCCAGCTCTTGGGAGGCTGTAAACAGGCACATCTTTGAGTCTAGTCTAGTAGTGAGACCCTGAACACCCTGTAGACCCTTCCCTAAAAAACAAACAAACAAACAAACAAAGAAACCATGGGTAAACAACTTCTAAAACTAAAGAAATATTCATGCTGAGTGTGGTGGCACAAGCCTGCAGGCTCAGCATTTGGGAGGCTGACACGAGGATCACCACAAGTTTTGAGGCCAGCCTAGGCTACATAAATGAGTTCAAGGTCAGCCTGCACTTATACTAAAACCGTGCATCAAAAGAAAAAGTCTATTGCTGAAGGATATGATGGAATGATATATCTTCTTTCTGCAACTTCAGTTTGAACCCAGGGATATCTCTGGCCCTTTATACATACTTTTTAAATTTTGAAACAAGTTCTCACTAAGTCACTAAGTTGCCCAGGCGGGGTGCAAACTTGTGATTCTCCTACCTCAGCCAGAGTGCTGAAGTTACATGCATGCACCACCATGCCCTGTTTTAACATATTTTGAAAGAGGCCGGAAGAAGAAATAGACTAGGCTGAGTAGTTCAGCAGTACAGTGTCTGCCTCACGTCTGTGAGGCCTTGGACAGAAACGTGAGGGAAAAAAGTAGGTGAACTCCCAAAGAAGTTGGGTGACACTAGGCAGCTGAACTCTTGGTGCAACAGTGACAGCAAGAAATTGGACTCTGCTCCAGTGCAGAGAAAACAGCTACATCCAGTGAAAATGTTTTCAGATTGAAGGGGAAACAAAGACACTTGCAGGCAAAAATATAGGGGCCAGGGAGATGGCTCAGTAGAATAAGCGCTTCCCTGGCAAGCACAAGAGCCTGAGTTCCATCACCGGTTCCGCAAAAAAAAAAAAAAAAAAAAAGGAAAAGCTTTTTTAGGGCCAGCCATATAGCTCAACGGTTTAAAGCACCTGCAAGCAGTCACAGGGGCCAGGGGTTCGATCCCCAGGCCTGCTGTGCCAGTCCCACCCCTGAGGCACACTGAGATGGCAATTAAGACTGGGCATGGTGGCACATGCCTGTAATCCCAGCTCTTGGGAGGTTGTAAACAGGCG